TTTTTGGTTATATAGCTTTTCATTGCAGTTGCAGTTGCTGTTGCTGTTGCCGTTACTGTTGTTGCTTGTTAAATGCAATTCATGTGTGGAAAAGTATTTCTGCAATTTTCTGCTATTTTTCTTTAAATTATTTTGAAGTTTTTTATGTTAATTTTCTACTTCTCGTTTTTTTGTTTCTTAATTTTATGATTTTTCTTTTTAATTCCTTAAAAAACAATGACACATTCTACCTCAAATGTTTGCTATAAGCATTTTTGCAGTAGGAGCGGCTTGGCATATGTGCCCCTTTTACTTTTCCCCAAATTCTTGAAATTTAACGTAGAATTGGAAAAATACTGCTGGTCGAGATTCTATGAATGCTCCTACCGAAACATTTTAATTTGTATACAATTTGATTTATTACTTAAAATTTGTCTTCAACGGTTTTAACCTGAGTAACACACACAGCAAACACATTAATTTTTTACAGTGTAAAGTTCGCCAACACTTTGTACGAGCAATAAAATTGGTAATCACCAAATAAAAAAATTTTAAAATTTAATAAGTATTATGAGGAAATAAATTGTTGCCAAGCTAGTTAATAAAAAAAACAGTAATACACGGTCTGCGAAGAGATTTAGCTCACTTGAGCTATATGAAGTCAGCCTATTCTGATACCATAACTTTAGAATACGCTAGCTGCTTTATAGATCAGTTGACAAATATATCTCCATTTTAAACTAGCAAAGCACCGTGTCCTTATAATAAAGTGAACTGTACCTTTAATTAATATGCCGACAAAATCGTATAGAGACTTGTAGAAGGGAGACCCTAGAAAGGGTATATGCCTTTGAACGAATAATAGTTAGTGACGGAGTAGTTGAATGATATTTTAATCTTACTTCCTTTTTTCTGACCAAAGAATATGCCACCAAAATCGTATAGAGACTTAAAGAAGCGAAACCCTAGAAAGGGTGTATGCCTTTAAGCGAATACTAGTTAGTTGCGGATTAGTTGAATGATATTTCAATAGTACTTCCTTTTTTCTGACAAAAGAATATGCCACCAAAATCGTGTAGAGACTTAAAGAAGGGAGACCCTAGAAAGGGTATATGCCTTTAAACGAATACTAGTTAGATGCGGAGTAATTGAATGATATTTCAATAGTACCGCCTTTTTTCTGTCAAAAGAATATGTCACCGAAATCGTATAGAGACTTAAATAACTAACCCTTTAAAAGAGATATATGCCTTCAGGTCAATACCAAATAGTGACGGTGGATGGTATTTGATGCCATCCACCACATAGATACATATGTGAGTAACATTTCATTCTAATCATCAAAATTGTAAAGACACTTAAAGAAAGCAAATTGAATATACAATAATTAGCAAATACCAGTTAGGGACAAAATAGATGTGTAATATTTCACTTTTATTCCGTTTCTTCGGAGCAAATTAATTTACCTACGAAATCATATAGACACTTGAAGAAGAATACCATAGTGTGGAACGAACACCACACTATTTTCTAACACGAATCAAATATACCGTCAAAAGCCTATAGCGACACTTAAGGAAGTGAGATCCTAGAAGAGATATATGCCTTCCGCTAATACCAGACAGTGACAAAGTAGTTGAGTTGCATTTCGACTCTAACTCCACTTCGATTCTCTAACAAAATGAATGTACCGCCAAAATTGCATAGACTCTCAAAAGAAAGGAGACTCGAAACTGGATATATGCGTTCTAGTGAATACCAAATAGTGACCAAAAAAAATGAATTTTTATTTTATTTTATGTACTCTCTTTTCTCATACGGAGAAAAGAGAGTAAATTTACCGATGAAATCGTATAGACACTTTAGAGGATTCGTGGCTTTTGGCCACAATGCTTAATCAGCACATGAAATTCACCTTTTTTCCATTTTCGTAAAAATTCTCGAGGTTGTCTGCTTTGAACGGGTATCAAACACCAACTGAACGACGTGGCCTGCTCAAAATTAAAAAGTTGCCCACTGGTAGATTACAGTTGACGGCAGCACAGTTGCACTGACTTATTAAACCGCCCTCGTAAGTTAACTGCTACCAGTACTTAGGTTGCATTAGTTTAATACTTATTGGTACTTTATTCGTCTATTATTTATTTCTATTTGAGCCAGTGCACTTGAGCACTTTTACTCTTTCTTAACTCGAGGTATTTTTAAAACCCCTCTTTACGCCTCGACTGGATTATTGTTTATCACTTCATCAGACTAAGCAATAATTGACCTGAGATCTAAATACCTCCCCGAGGAGCCTGTAACCATTCTGAGATTTAATAACGCGGTGTTGTTAAGTCTGTCGTAATAACTTTTTTTTAACTTTTTTTTAATTTTTTGTTTTTATTCGTAAAAAATATATTAATCTTGTGGTAGAATAGCTGACAGGCCAGAGTCCACATTAGGAATTTCAAGGTTCACTTCAGACGATTTGGCACAGCTATGATAAATACGATTTAAAGTTCTTCATATTTGACTTCTCGTTATTTCGCACAAATGCAACATAGATAAACATACTTACTGCTGTCCTTTTCTCCTAGTGGAGCATAGAATCTCACAAATTTCCTCTAAATCTTACTCTTTTGCATGCTACTCTCGTGATTTAGTTCCCGAAGTACTGTGCGTCTTTAAGCTCCTGGTCCACGATTAATCACCATGTCTTAGCTGAGGTTTCAGGCTAACGGCTACCTTGTAGATTTCAGAATAGCGCGTCTTTTGTTATGCAGAATGCTGTTTAGATTAGATTAAACATGCTAGAGATGTGTTTTCAAGAAAGCGTATGCCAACTTGAAGACTCTCTGAAGAATATATTGTGCCTCATAAAAAAGGTTAATAGTTATTAAAATGTTCGATATTTGTACAGAAAGATAGTTTGGGGTTTGAAGTAAGGACTAGTTTGAGAACTGAGGTTTATTATAAAATATTATTTTGGACGTATTTTTAACCATGGTTTTTACTATAGCAGTAAATAGAAACTAGGCAGATGTTGAGATCTTCCTTATTATTCTGCCTTACTTATTATATATTTAATTTATTATTTTTTTTTTAAGTCTGTTAACGTCCTAATGTCATTATAGTTCACTGCCTTATATCGATTATCTGTGTATCTATTAAATACAATATATCAATTTGCTTCGGTCATAAATTATTTTGCTTCAATGACTTGTCTTCAACCGACTTCGTTCATAAAATTCTATTTAATATTTTTTAAATACACAGCATTTAAATCCATGGAGCTGTAATTGAAATTAACGTTAAATAATAAAAATATTATATTCACTTCAGAAATCTATCTGAACATTTAATCAGTTTTTATTGTTATTTTAACGATTTTCTGTTGTGCCGTCGCGGCTACTGCAACTTCACGTGCTGCCGCCAACTCCGTTTACAGATTTTACAGCATCTTATCGGTGACGGCCAATCTCGAATGCACTCTTAAATTTGTATTTAAATTTTTGCATTAACAATTCGAAGACATAAAATTAGTAAAATATAAAATTTTTAAAACACAATCACAAGCAATAAACAAATACTTCGGAACAAAAATCGCAACTGGCAGCGTCTGAAAGCGCATGTCAGCGGCAAATAAATAAATAATTTTTTCAAAAATTACAGTAAAAAATAAAAATTATTAAAAAACCTCCACATTTGGCGTGTCGTTTTGCAACTCAACGCTGCTCGAATGTATGGCATTTTTATTTAATTTTTTAATTTTTTAATATTTTAATATCAGTGATTAGCGGAAAACTTGTTCGAAATGCTGTGAAAATGGTCTTTCTGGTGTTTTTGGTGACCTTTTGGAGACAACGTTCACATATGAGTTTATCATTAAATTAACAAATCGTTTTGCGTATATAACATTTAAACTATAAACTTTTAAATGCGTAAAATTAAAGGTTAATATATGTTTTAACAAAAAGGTTAAAGGCTCACATATCATAGTAATTAAATATTGAAATTATTACTTTATCGCATGCTACTCACTTTTTTGTAGCGTGATATAAAAAAAGTTTAAATTGAAACTTTTTTTCATACAGGGTTAGCTATATTAGGTGATACCATGTGACAATTCTGTAACTTTGACAAAGAAACTCAGAATTACTAATGACAGTACGTGTGTGAAATATCAACCTTAGGAAACATTTTGCTATTAAACAGTACACACTAGTCGAACGCGATAAGGGCCTAGGCCTAGAATTTTTGGCAAACAATCAGTAAAAGTGATCAGGCATATTTTATGTTAAGCAGAATCGTATACAAATAAATTTGTTGGTTAAAATAAAGCCCTCAAACTGACTATTATTAAAAAATCTTCTCTTTACTCTCAGAAAATCACAAGTTTCGTACGGATTTCGTGCTGAAATGATCGTCAGACCAATACTTTTTCGAAAATGTTAGTGGCAAAGCAACAACCGTCAGTTAAAATCGTATGCAGTACTTCTAGTTTCAATAATAATTTAAAATCCTTACTTCATACAGCTCGTACCATAATCGATTTATTGAAACTATCGTTCCTAGGTTGCTTGATATCAAAAAGTTATGGTTTTGATTGGCCTCTACGTTCCCTCGATTTGACACCTCCAGACATTTCCTTATGTGGCTGTTGACAGCCAAAGATGAAGGCCGCCAGAAAGGCAACAATGATCGCAAATTTCCAAAATCGAGCACATAAAGTCATTCCAGCTAAGGCCATATATTCGAGCTTACGCGATATACTCTTCAAAAAATCTTCACCTCATATGGCGAACCCTTTATTATTCTATAAACGTTTACGATTTTGTACTCCTGATTTTATTGACCTGTTCCAGTGACATTTGTATGTTAAATAGAAGTATCACTTAAGCCATAATGTATTAAGTTTAGGATTTACCATTTTACAATATAAATCGTTTAACAACTGCTGAACATATTAAAATCATCCAAACTAACAGCTAAAATAGACAGTGGCACAAGCCACACAGCTTTGACTTTGTTTAGCGAAAAGTTCCCAGAAAAGTTTCCCGAACCACCAATATCATGTCCTTTGTCACAACAAGACTCTTTTTGTGGAATTATGGAAATGACCGTGCTTCTGCTTATTCTTATGCTTTTTTATTCTTATCCTTATTCTCTCTACGCTTTCAGAACGACCAGCAACATTTAGTTATAGCCAAACTATTGCTAGTTATACAATAACGAATTAAAAGAATTTAAAATAATATATAATATGATATAATAAAATAATAACGGTGCCGTTCCTACTCTATCGACACTCTTATAAATAGTGCTTACCGACGCTCGAAGAGTAGAATTCAGAACACCTGTTGTTGTCATTCTCCAAGATTATCCAAAACTAATATTTTTTACCTTGTCTTCAATTTAATCAATGATGTTAGTTATATCAAAATTGCATTTATCTGTGTTCCCGACCAAACTTTAACTATAAGATTGACTCTAAAACGTCGAACTTTCTACTCAAAATTACGAGACATATGGAATCGTAAGGATTCTCTAAGTTAATTGATAAGGATTCAACTATGCTTCTTCTTCGCCTACCTACCTATTTGCCAGCTGCGTACCAGTAAGTCATCGAATATTGCTTAAAACGGATCCAATACCGTAAGGTGTGTTGTGGGGAACATTTATATGGTGCGGTACTTCACACCTCCAAAGAATATGTTATAAAAAACAATTTGAGACAGTTGAGAAAATTATCGACAATATGAACAACCCTGTATTTTATTATTAGTTATTTATTATAAATTTTGTTTATTTTATATGTAATTCTATTCGTTTTTTTTTTTTGTTTTGTTGCAATAATTTTAAACACATTCACTTTAAGCAAGTTTATGGCTTTAAAAAATGTTCTTAAATAAATCAAAAGTATTTTTATTACTCATATGATTCGGTATCCACTGTCGTTAGGTGCCCAGTAATTGTTTGCCTTCAAATTTAGTATTCCATTCATAAATCTACCATTTTTGGAATTGACCGTTGACTTTGTCACACATGCGATTTAAAGATTTTTCAATAGAAAAAAATTGAGTTCATGCAATTTGAAGTCACGAATCGGTTTTATAATTCAATTATTTTATTTAAATTCGCGCAATCATTAAAACAAAAAATAATAATTATATAGAAACAAATCATTATATTAAATTTATATTTTTTTAATAATATATATAAATTTCTTCACAGGTGGTCGTCCACAGCCTTGGTGGTGTCGCAACAATCGCAACGGCAGTCAAAACGGACGTTCAACGCTTTCAGTAAAGCATCCTTCGGATAGTATACGTCGTCCGACAAGTAACTCGGGTGTTTGGACTTGGTTGGGTGGTAGTCGACGTTCTTCTGTGGGCCCAGATCAAATTGGACCACCATCATCATCACCAGCGGAAAATCATTACACACATATGGATGACGCTTATAGTCCCGTTGGTGTTAGCGAAGCGTTATATGCTGAATTGGATCGAGAATCGGTGCGCTCCGCAAATCCTTCATATCAAAATACGGCATACAGCCAATGTGAAGATGTGAGTATATAAAAAAAAATATTTATTTATTTTTATTATTTATTTTTTTATTGCTTTTTATAACATCACCTTGATGAAATTTCTGTTTTGTTGGTTTTCTCACAGAAGTATCATTATCAGCAACATGAACAAGACATTCCCATGGTGGTCTCATCGGCTCCGAGCAGTGCCTACTATTCGGATCTTTCAGTGACCGCTATGCCAGGCGGCGGTGGCAATGAGCGCGCCTATGAAATTGTGGGTCTCACTGTCATGTCACAGCCGTTACCCAACTGGGACAGCGGAGGTAGGGATACAGGTTCTAGTGAGACGGCGTTAGCTACTCAACGACGTATGCCACGACTGGCAGCCATAAATGAGACAAGCACGACAACTGTTCCCTCAGATTACGTTTAAATGCAAAGATGTAAATTTATGAAATTTTAAAAAATTAATTTAATTTAATTGTGAATTTAATTAAGTGCTGTAATTAATTTAATTATTAATTAAAAAAAAAAACAAAACAAAAAATCAAGTTTCAAATGTGAATCGAACGAATTGAACGAGCTTAAATTTATTGTAGGCTTTAATGTAAATTAAAAAAAAATTATATTTTTAACTTAGTTGTATCTATTGGAGAATATAGTTTATCTGTAATAAAAATTAAGTGTATAAGCAATGCTAAAATTTATTTAATGAAGCAAAAATAAAATACAGTTAAAATGATTTATATGTAAAACATAGAAATATGATTTTTAAAAAATGATATAAAATAATTTTAAAATATATTTAAAAGAGCATATAATAATATATATATAAAAACTTAATTAACTCTTAAGATTGTTAAGATTGTTAAGAAACGATCAAATCGTTGGTGATATTTAGCCTAAATATATATAAAATATACAATACACACATACATGTGTACAATGAACGTATGTGTGCGTGCGTGTAAATGTAGTAATATTTAAAAAAAAACACAGAAACAATTCTAATATATACATATATATATCTAATATATATTTAATTATATAATTTACAAATGATACAATTAAACATTTATTTACAAGAACAAAGATTATATGTGTATGTGTCATTGTCCTTCCTCGATTTTCGTATGTACATATAAAAAGAGGAATCCCCTAATTTAAAGCAGCCTTTCTTCTTAACGATATATGTATACATTGAAATTACATTGAGTATTTATGTATAGTGCATTTAAAATAAAATATTATTTACACTGACGTATAAATTATTATATATGTATATGTATACAAATATGATATTATCTATTTAACTGATTATACTTTATATACAATATTATTTACTTATTATATACACTGCAACAATGAAGATAC